GGGGACATTTCTCTTGTTCCAGAGCACAGAAAAGTGCAAATCAAGATGCAGGAAGTTATGGTTTTTAGTGTGAGAAGGCAATAAAGAATTTCAGGCAATGGAAGGCATTCAGCTGGACATAAAAGTTGCTGTTTCACAGAAAAACCTTATAATCAAAGGTACTGATTCACAGATTATAGAGCATTTTCAAACTGCACGTACGTGATATGATTTTCTACTTCTGTACAATTTAGATAACATAATCCTTGTGATTATTTTCAGTTAGATCAGCTGAGCAGATTTCTAACTCTAAATTACCTTCTTTTAGAGTCAGAAATTAGAGATGGCTGTTATGTTATAGAACTGCATTCTTTTCAAGAGCTGGATTGTTCAATGGAATATGTTTTGTAATGGGCAGTTGTTGCTTTCTGCATTGGGTTTTCCCTCTTCTTCCTTAATGGCTTCAGCCTATAAGGAAATCTTTCTGATACTCAATATAAAGTTTCACTCTACTGATTTCACATCCCATATTACAGAGCTGCCTTGGGTCTTCTTGTGGTATTTTAGGGCTGTATCAAATTGTCAGCTGTTTTCAGTGGCCTCCAATTTGGTGAATGCTTTGCTGTGCCTTTTTTAGTTGCCCTTTTCCTCAAAGGAGTATTGCAGAAACAAACCTATTGTACAGCATTAAGCCTCATTAAAACACATACACACATTATTTTCAGGGTCAAAACAAAAGTTTGGATGATTCACAGCAAATATCTGAAGACTCAACTAAAAGCTGAACATCTGTCTTGCTTCCTGAATCCTGTGGTGGGAAAGTCAAGTTTGACCATGTAACTAAATATACTATAATGCATATTCACAAGGGGGCAAATCAGATTGCTAAAATACTAACTCTGGTTTTTGCTGACTTCACTGTTTGTCCTTTTAATGTCAGTAACAAATGTTTTGCTCTATGTTTTGGCTTAGTTACCTTGGCTTTTGGAGTATATTGAAGTATAAATGCTGTAGTATATTGATGTGTATTGAGTATATAGTATATTGAAGTGTAAACTCTTGACACCTTCCCAAGTTTAGAGCGTTTCAACACAATTTCAGTATTTGTATGTAGCAACTAACTAGAGTAAATACCAGAAGAAACAAGATTTAGGGACTGACCACTAGAGGAAGCTACATAATAGTCAGGTCTTGTGGATGTACCCAGACAATTCCATTTAACAGGTAAGGTATTGTAAAAATATATCTAGAATTGCAAAATATATGTTTTTTTTTCTAATGACCTCTGCAATTCAGTGATTGAAGTTTGTCTTTTCTATTTGGAAATGTTGTCTGAAACATCTTGTGTGAGTTAGGATTGAATAATAAACTATTTATCAACATTAAAGGCAGTAAAACTGACAGCAGTCATTAGAAGTAAAATAAATAGTGGGATTTTATACTTGTCTATTAAGCTTGTAATCCTGCCTCAGATGGTACAGGATGGTACACTTTTTTCTCAGTCTTGAGGCATGTTTATGTAGGCTGGAGTATATTCTCATGACAAAGCTGCCATTATAGAGACACTCCTCCAGGAGAAAGGATCATGTGATGTGACATGAATGTGTGCAAAGTTGGATACACATGGTGCTGCTGGAGGTTAAGGTTATGATAGAGGACAAAGGCATGGAGAATGACAGGTCATAGTTTTTCCAGATTTTTATAAAGGCAGCAAAGCTCCACCTGACATCACGATTAACCTGCTGCATAAGTTTAATTTTTTCTGCCCACCAGAGAGATGTTAGGGAGCTAATGAAATTTTTCTCATAATTAGTTCTATAGAAAGGTTTGTCAACAAAAATGTATAAATGATAGGGACATTGAGTTATTGGCCAGCTTGTGACTGGAAACAGCTTGACATTTTCAGTGTTCACTGTAAAATAAACATTTCTAGAATTTCAAACTTCTTGTTCTTCCACTAATTAGAGGAACATTGATATGTACTTTATTAAAGCATTGTTTTTCCACAAAAAGCTATTTTTTTCACAATAGCCATGCTTTGGTCACTCTGTAACTTTGCATGGAACAGCAATCTCAGAAATAGTTACATCCTGACTGAAGTAAGTGCCTTGGTGTGGTGTGATTCCTTATATTTGTGGGGCTGGTCTTAGATGTTACCTGTCACCGTTCACTGTTTTATTTAGCATGTTCTAGACTGTCCAGTTACTGACAATTTTTATGTCTTAGGCTTCTACCTTTAAAACAGTAATCTGAAGGTGCCGAGACAAACCATATTCTCAAAAATTGGCAAACTAATAGGTACTACACATATACTTACTAATACTTATGTGCCTGTGTGAAAATAAATTTGGGGAAAACATCCAGACTTTACTGAATACCATGAGAATGCTGTGCTAGATGTAGAAAGTACTTGAAACTGTCTGTTTTTTTCATTATAGATGCTTCAAAAATTTCTAATTCTGATGTTTCTAAACACTGAAAAATTCAGTTTGACAAACAGTTGCGAAGGTGTCAAGGTATACAGGAAAAGTATGAGAAAATTGTTCTGGATTTCTCAGTTTCTTCATTCATCTTAATATCTGAAGGCTGAAAGCTGAAAAGTTAATGTTGGTTTGTCTACTGGATTTTGTGGGGTGCATAGTTTTGGGTTTGTTTTTTTGGGTGGGGATATTTTTGTTGATAGACCCAGCTATTCTCTTATGTTCAAATCAGCTTGAAAATGTGTTCCATATGCAGCTGTACTTAATGTTACAAAAACTGAGCACCAAGTCCTGGATTCTTTTGGGGGATTGTTACTAATACTGGGAATAGTCCCTGTTCTGAGAAGAGGAACAGTAGTGAAGAAATGAAATGAAGGTTAGACTATACTGACTAATGGAGAGGCTTTAAAATGAGTTGCATCAGTTTTACTCAAAATTCATCAGAATCCAAATAACTTGCAAAAGGATTTAATGGATTTTCTTTCATATTTTGTGGCAAAGGTTATTGTGCAGAAAACATATCAGAAAGGTTATTTAAACTGAAGAGCCCTGTCAGCGCTATCAGTTAATTAACTATTAACTGTCTGTTTTTAAAAATGTAATGATTCACTTGGAAAAGTGAATGTCTGCAAATAATTTTAAGCCTGGTCTAGGTGCCACCAAGATGAGTAGGGTATAAGTGAGAGA